AAGTTTATCTGCCGGTTGAGGATTTCCTGAACATCTGGGAGTTAAATGTTGTACATTGATGTCTAAGACAACTTTCTGTAAAAAAACAAAATTGCAAATTGCTGTATGTTGAGGAGTAAGGCAGCCCTCCACCGGGGGGCACCAGAGCACCTCACATAATTATTAGCTAGCTATTATTTAAGTTTGGATTTATATGGAATTATTCTTTTTTGTCATTGTTTTTAAAAACTATTTTTGTCCCTTTTTTAATCCTGATGACTGCACAAATTTTCCATTTACATGGAGATGGCATATAAACAATTACGTCTGGTATCGAACCCACAACCTTCACTATGGGATGTGTGGGGGCCCTGGACCTGTGCCATTACATTTTTAGGACATATCGAACCCACAACCTTCACTGTGGGATGTGTGAGGGTGAGGCCATGGACCTGTGCCATTACATTTTTAGGACGCCATTTCATTTTAATCCTTTAAGGTCAAAAATATGAATTTTGTTCCATGGAGCAGGAGGTAAAATGTATTTCTGCACCAAAAATCGACTCGTCTCACTCCATTTTTGAAGGGCTGTGACAGACAGATGATCTTTGACATGCTGAAAAGTCTCCGCTCTGTTGTGTACCTGCCGGGTGACTACGTCTGCAAAAAGGTAAGGTAGCGTCTCCAAGCTGTGTTCATAGAAGACTTGTGGAGGTCACTGCCGTATCAGAACATCCATGTCTGTCGATCAGGGCGAGGTGGGTCGGGAGATGTACATCATAAAGGCCGGGGAAGTGCAGGTGGTCGGAGGACCCGACGGGAAGACGGTGTTTGTCACGCTCACAGCTGGATCAGTCTTCGGAGAGATCAGGTGATGAGGCTTCTAAGCAAACACACAATAACCCATGTTTGATGACACATGCAAACAATTTTTGTCGTTTAACCACCAATATCTACCTTTTGCCTCAGGCACAACAATGACAAGAGTCACTGTTGGAATTTGTGCAGCTTCCATGGTGCTGACAGTGACACATTTTTAACATAAATAGAACCAGAACATTAAGCAGTGCCACATAGAGAATAAAGTCCATGATCCAGTGTGGAAGTTTTGACGTAGAGCTTGAGAAGAAAATGTCAAAAGTTACTTCTCTGCACAATCATTCTGTCGCATTAATGCTACGTTGTTTTTTTTTGTTGACAGTCTGCTTGCGGTCGGTGGCGGTAACAGGCGTACAGCTAATGTGATTGCTCACGGTTTTGCCAATCTCTTCATCCTGGACAAGAAAGACCTGAATGAGATCCTGGTCCACTATCCTGAGTCTAAGAAGCTGCTGCGCAAGAAGGCCAGGTCAAACATGAGTGACATTATACAGACTACTCCACGGTCTGCTGCTGTGGAGAACTGGTTGCACTCACAGGTCTCTGTTTGAATCACAGAAAGATGCTCAACAAGGGAAAGAAACCAGAGCCTAAAGAAGAGCCCAAAGATCCCCCGCCTCCAGCCCCCGTGAGACCAGAGACGCCCAAACTGCTCAGAGCCGCTCTGGAGATGACGGAGAAGTCGTCTGGACTCAGAGGAGCTCTGGCTGAGGTCAAGAGGAGGACCAGCAAGTCCTTCATCTCCTCACAGGTAGAAACGCAGCCTATATACAGTGGAGCCCCGAGGTACGAGTTTTCCGAGTTACCAGTGAGCAACTTTTGCAAGATTTTCCTCGTGATACGAGGGAACATCAAGTTTTTTTTTACCCATTTTTATAACAATAATATGAAATGTTTTCTTAATTATATTATTTTATATGATCAGTATATTTGTTTATATCTGTGGTTTTTCTGTTTAGATGCAGGGAAGGGAATTTTAATTTAATTAATAATAGTATATTTCTGGGGGGCTGAAATATCATCAGGAAACCCAAATAAGTCTTGTTCACTACTAAACCATCTCTAAGAACTTCTTCTCTCCTCTTTCAGCCCTCCGTCTCCTCCTCCCAGCATACCTGTTCTCCCAGCTTCAGCTCTGGGCCGGAGAGAGATGGCGACACGCCCTCACCGGTCTTTGCCAGCTCAATGACACTTTGTTCTCCTTCCCGCTGTCATAGTAAGAGCTCACTGGCCCCTCGGCCTCTACCGAGGTGCAGCAGTGATGCGGATGAAACATCAGCCATGGACCAAAAACAGGAGGAGGCTGTTGAAGACAAAAAGAACGAGAGTGAGTCAAGGAGAGTTTTGAGAAGTCGTGAAGGAAGAAGGAAGGAGAGGTGAAAAATAACCAGTGAAAAGAATGATTTAATTCTTGTTGTGCAGCCATGTTGGGCTTCTGCTTGGACCACCAACTCAACTGGGCCAAGTGCAATGACTAGATGTACCTTCATATTTTATCTTCAATACAGAGCTATTCACATAAGACACTGGTTTGTTAAAATTGGGGGAAATACAATATTTGAGACAAATGTAAAACAAAAAGTTTTTAAAAAACCCAAATATTTCCTGACCCCTCTGCAGTACCTCTGTGGACCACCAGGGGTTCGTGGCCTATTGGTTGTAGACCTCTGCTCTGACTGCTCTGTTTTGGCTGTTGTTGTCTGCTTAATGTTTACAGCTTGTTTTGCAAATTTTCATGTGCCTCACAATTTTTTAATAATTTTAATTGTAGAGTCTGTAATATAATTAGAAAAAACAAAAAAAAAATGTTATTTATTTATTGTAGCATTTGTTTCCTTCAAAGATTAGTCAGAAATATTGTGATGTTTGTATGTTGTGTACAGAGACAGATTATATTTTATTTTGAATCGTTTTCACCGGACCATGACCAGGAACTAGAAAATGGCTGCTTCAGGTACTCCATGGCCGTATAACATGAAACCTGTATCTAGGCAAATACTGAATGGAATTTCATGATGTAGAAACAAAAAAGTATTAAAGGACCAAATTAAGGTTGATGACATTAACACTGTATTGTGTGTGGATCCCTGTGTAAATGTCTGTGTAGAGCGTTAGGAAACGTCACCAACGGTGTGTTAACATTAGCGTAGCACATACTAACAATAAATACCGTGGACTTTACAAGTCGTATCTTGGAGCGTAGCGATGTTCAAATTGCATTGCAATTATTACAGGACAAAAGACTAGAACATTCTGCAGCAACAGCTAACGTTATTATTTTAATACTTTTTGTATTTACTGCACAACATTATATGTTCACTCTCAATATACATATTCAGACACTGTACTCATTACGTAAATGTTTCTCTTTCCTTCCCGTGCATAATCTTTGTGTATCTTGTATATAAATTGTATAAACAGCAGGATTCAGCTTAGTGTAAATTTGTCTCCATTGCGTAAGAAATGTAGGTTTGTAAACCAGCTTTCCACACTGCCTACAGGATGTCGAGAATAATGTCAATGTTTCTTCTTTGTCACAGGACGTGTGTCTGTCGTACATAGGAATATATGCATCTAGTTCGGTAATTGGACGTAGCTCTGTCCTTAGTGGACTGTGTATAAATAAAATATTTATTGTTACATTTTTCACTCATGAGCACGAGCTTCGTGATCATCACCTACAGTAGGTGAAAAATTAAAAACCTGACTGTTAAACCATAAACCACACATCTGTGGTTCTGTGGGATTCACAAGAGTAAAATAAAAAATCAGAAAATAAATCACTGGATTATTGAGTTTATTTCAGTGATGTCTATTAGTTTTAATGAATTTAAATAGTTTTAGATCCTGTTTTGGTGTAAGAATTTCAAGCTGTTTTTAATCAAAATGACTCTGACTACTATGTTGCTAAATGTATGTTTGACTGTTGTATATTCAATACATGTACTAAAAAATCAAGGCAGCAAAAAAATGGGGTAAACTTCTAACAAGATGTTCAAGAACCGTGAAGACGAAATGGACAGAAATACATGGATGTTGACTTTAATCTGAGTGTGTGATGATCGAAACACGATAATAGGATTAAACAGATTGAATTACAATGACAGCGTGTAACAGATTTAAAATTCATTTTATTTTTTCATTTATTTATTTTTTATTTTTTGGTTATGCAGCGCTACATGTTTAAATTGTCCTACTTAAACGTTTAGTATAAACTTTTTTTATAGTCGTTTAAGCGGTGTTTTAAATAAAACAGTGACGCGCTCAGTGACGTCACAGATGGTCCCTGTCCTTTGCGTTGATGCAGCGGCAAGTTATTTACACCGTTGTTTGTCCACACAGGCGCAGGTGTAGTTCGCAGGACGGAGGTAAAAAAGAAACGGGACAAGTGTTTATTTAGTGATATGACAGCGCACAGAACGACATTTCAATTACTTGTTGCCTTTAAATGTGTTTATTTTATAGTTTTATTCTGTGGTTTACGCGGAATGAGGAATGAGACAAGCTAACGGCTAAGTAGCTCTTAGCTTAGGAACGCCGCGGATTGTGAACGGCGTTCTTACGTGTTCGGGCAGTTTGTGATGGCAAGGAGACGTTATTAAAAAATAAACAAATAAAAGTGGGAGACGCTGCGATGGGTGACGTTGTTGCTGATGGAGAGAAAGCTAAAGAAACCGCGGAGCTTCCACTGGAGGTGAGTGACACAGCGACTTAAACAGGTGTCGTTCTCCAGGTACGTTATTGTATCGCCGGGATTTTAAAGCAATAAAACAATGGGTCGCAAAATATGCTTTAAGTTTATGCAGGAGTTGACTGAAGAAAAATAGAAACGTCATTATTTTGTTACAAAATGGCTGATTTAAAATAAAATATAAAATATAATTTGATTTAAAATGGCTGATTAAAACAGTCAAAATTAGAGACAGGAGAGTTTAACATATTTACAGTCCCTCACAATGACGGCTGCTAATGATGAATGTTGATATTGTTAGCTTGAAGTTGGAGTCCATTTTGTTGAGTTACAGTTACAAAATAATGAGCCCTAGTCCATTTGCAAAGTAAATGTTTTCAAACTGGAAACATATTGGATATACAACATTGGATATACTCTCCTAATAATAATTTAGATATGATTTTCACCCTAATTCCTTTAAATCTGTCCAATGCTAAATACACTAGATATAAATTTGGGATTTTATATAATTATATAATTAAATTTAAACATTTCCCAAGCATCTATTCTTTAATTTTTTTCACATCATAAATAAGGTTTTGCCCACAATGCCAAATTAAACAATTTTCAGAACAGCTTTAAATGAGATGTTTATTTTCCCATTCTCTGTGTGCTCATTAAACTCATTAAACACCCTTAGGGTGGAGTTAAATAATTCTAAATGTTAATAATATTTTCTTTGCTCCACTATGGGGGAAAAATGCACTGAATTATACATCTACAATTATAGTACTAGTGATGGTACTATCTTCAGAAAGGGGGCGCTGCAGAAAAGAGTTGGTAACCAATGCATTAAATTAACTCAGTGGTGTTTCTCTCTCTCTCTCTCTCTCTCTCTCTCTCCTGGTGTAGATTATAATTCACATTCTGAGCTTCCTCCATCCCTCAGATAGGAAAGAGGCCTCGATGGTCTGCCACAGCTGGTACAATGCCAGTCTGGACTTGTCCTTTCAGGTGATCTGGTTCACACCACACCTCACCACACTGTAGTGTCATACTGTACATGGTACAGTTGTGCGGCTTGTTGTTCAACCCCAGTTCCAGACACCGTCCTAAAGAGCGTTGCTGTTTGTCTGCTTGTCTTGGTGTAGAAGAACGTCACATTCTGTTTCCCGGCCTCACCCTCGTCCCTGCAGATGGTGAGTGGTCTGAACAGGAGATCCAGGTGCAGCCTGGTTATCAGCCAGCTGGATGGCTTCAGTATGTCCAGGTCACTTCTGCTGGAGGTGAGGGGTTTGTGTCATGCTGACATCATTTCTATCTGACACACGAGGATAATCATTAACTCAGCTGTTGTGAAATTACAACATAATACCACTTTTCAGGTCGGTCTGTGTCTGGGCTCCAAACTGGACGGTCTGGCTTTGCCCGGTAGCAGTATAACAGAGGCATCGCTGCTGGCCCTCCTCCCCTGCCTCACCTCTCTACGCAAGCTGGACCTCAGGGGTCTGGACAGCCTGTTCATGTCTGGAGCCTTCCTCTCCAGGGAGGAGCACCGACAGCAGGTATCGTATTATGCCATTAAAACCAAGCTAGGTGATGAAATGGTATTTACAGAGGATGATAGAGTTACTCAGAGCAACTGCTGGATTCAATCAGCCTCAATTTTTAATAAGTTACAATATTGACTTGTTATTAATCCTCAGTAACCCTGTGGTTACTCAGATTTGAAAAACAATGTTTTAATGTGTAATTAAAGCTCAATCCTGACTCTCGCTGCAGGTAAGGACGGCTCTCGTCCATCTGGAGGAACTGGATCTGTCCGATCTGCGTTACCTCTCCGATCTCACCTTCAGTCGGCTCACCAGCTGCACACCCCGCCTCCGCCGGCTCTCGCTGGCCGGAAACCACATCGCTTTCGAGTTCGATCCCTACCAGGGGTGTCCTGTGGGCATGGTGGAGCACTCGTCTGCACTGCTGTCATTGAGGAACCTGAGGAGGCTGTTAACAGAGCAGAAGACCACCCTCAGAGCTCTGGACCTCAGCAGAACCTCTATTACCCCTGAGTCCCTGCGCACTATCGCACAGGTCAGATCATGACTTTTTTTTTAAAGCTTCATTCATATCAGATAATGTGGTAAATATTTACTAATGACCTTTAGAATAAGGTAATATAATAAGGACATCTTTTTCAGGTTCAAGGTTTAGTCTTGGAGGAGCTGCGTCTCCATGGCTGTAAGGAACTGACCGACTACTCCATAGAGGTTCTTATAAAACACCAGCCGAGCCTCCAAAGACTGGACATTAGCTCCTGCACTGAACTGACCAGCCGGACAGTGGAGGCTGTGGCTCGTGGCCTGAAGTCACTGACCCACATTTCTTTGTCAAACAACTGGAGAATAACTGAAAAAGGTGATTTTTTTATTTTTATTTAGAAGACTTGGTTCCATTCCCAAAAGTAATAAAAAAAAAGTGAAGTGCGATGGGAACTGTCTTTGTTGCAATACGTGGCCTGACCACTAGATGTTGCCAAAGCTTGTTACTTTCCCAATACAATTCAGTAGATGAACTGAAAATCTTTTCGTCCCTTTGATGCTGATACTGTTTATGCTCAGTTTTGTTAAACACGTGATCAGAACTGACATTGATAATTCTAATATTACTTTATTTGGTGCTTTGAATTGTTTGCATGGTAATAAGATAAGCAACGTTCTAAATAACTACAAATATATTCTTTGGCTCATGATACACTCATTGGGAGCAACTTTTGAAATGCATCAAAGTTGTCCTGTTAAGACAAGACAGAAACCATATAGTTTATACCCCGTAACGTACAGGAAGTGCCCCGTAACATACAGGAAGTGCTTTGAAACCCTGTGCTGAAAGTGAACACCTGATGTTGTCCACAGGCCTCGCTGACCTCACGTCGTTGTCGTCCCTGAGGCGGTTGGATCTGTCTAACTGTCTGCACGTCAGTGGAGCTGAGATGGTGAAAGGCCTGAAGGAGTCTGCCGAGTCCAGAGCACGGCTGGAGACGCTCAGCCTCAAGAGCTGCACCTACATTGGGGTCAGTCGGTGTTATGAGTGAGATGACTAACAGCTGTGTGATCAATATCTGACGCAGAGATGAGATTGGACAGGCGGAATAGAAAACAATACCATGTATTATAATGTCATTCCTACAGTGTGTTTTTATACTGATTTAAAATGAGTTTTTTTTTCCAATTAGAAATAAAAAAATATTTTATATATATATCTTTTTGCTCTTCTTCTTCAGGATCTGGTGGTTTCCTCTCTTGGACAGCTGCTAGGCAGTACTTTACAGGAGCTGGACCTCACCTCCTGCGTCAACGTGACAGACTTGTCAGTGCTCGCCATTTCCACCTACCTGCTGAAGCTGGTAATTCTACGTCTGGGCTGGTGCAAAGAAATCAAGGACAAAGGGTTGCTGGGAACGGTGGAAAAGTGTGTTCTTAATAAGAAGTTGGTAAGAGCCACAGATGTGTCCAGTTTGTGTGTTTGCACTCGGACTTTTTCAGTAACCTTGTCATTAAGGAGCCGCTTCTCCTCACAGGAAGAAAAAGGTCCGACGTTTACCCGCACTTTTGGCAACATGGGCTTCTTTAAGCCTCCTAACATGGAGGACCAACCAAAGCCGGTGACGCAGCTGGAGCTGCAGCAGCTGAAACGGTCAGCCGGAGCTTCACTTTTAGCTCTGAGCAGGCTGCAGGAGCTGGACCTCACTGCCTGCTCCAAACTCACTGACAACAGCATCACACAGGTGAAAGGCTCAGAGTCACCAAGGCTGTGACTTATTACCAGCATGGTTTCACACCAGCGTTGTTCTGTCTTCTTAGGTGGTGAACCACCAGGATCTCCATCGCCTCTCTCTCGCCTGCCTTCCGTGCATCACCGACGACAGCCTAGTGTCGGTGGCCTGGCGCTGCAAAAGCCTCACCAGCCTGTCCCTGAGCCACTGTCCTGGCATCAGCGACCGCGGCGTTTCCCAGGCTGCTCCGTACCTTCGACGGCTCCAGCATCTCAACCTCTCCTGCTGTAATAACATCACAGACAGGTGAGGACCGTCCCTGGAAACCAAGTGTCCGCTCCTCTATGGAACATGCCTCCCTGACATATGAAACTATTTTCTTTTTTTCCCCAGATCCTTATTGGCCCTGGCCAAGCACTGTAAACGCCTGAGGACGCTCGACATCTCCCGATGCAAGAAGACTTCCGTCACAACCATCGATCTCCTGCAGTCGCAGCTGCCGTTCTTGGAGAACATCCAGTGCAAGTTCATAGGAGGAGCCGACCCCACTTTAATAATGTGATCGGATATGAAGGTATGAAAAAGCTGCTGCACACCTCACTGTTCTATAGTCAAAGACACTGAAATAAATTAACAGTAAATGTTCTCTGACACAGAGATCTGTGAAAGTGAACATAAAATAATGTCAACATCATAAATAGACCAAAGACAGAACAACAGAATTTTTTCATTACAAAAAAACCCAAAAAAACCTGCAGTTTATTCATGTGAATTCAGCAAAGAAACATCATGGTTCAAAGTGAATGTCACTACACAAGAAGAGTGTCAGAGTTGCAGTGCAGGGTCAAGGGTCAAGGTGACCGTCCTGAAATGAAAGACCCAGATAAAGGCCAGAAAACGCTCCAAACACCCACGACAACGGTTCGTCTGTGAGTTTCTAGAACTGTTTAGTACCTGCATGACCAAAGTGAATGAAAACTGTTCAGAGAAAACCTGAACATTCGTAGTACTCATATTTTGTGTTTTTTCTTAATTATTAAACTCCTTTCATATATTCCCCTAAGGTATACTTAGTACCTGAAAAAAACAAAACAAAACGTAAAGGTGTTTGGTACCTGTTGTTGTCTGCATCCTTATAAAATAGGTCATAAAATCATCACGAGTGAGACACTGTCATTTTAAAACCACGGAACAATAATGATATAAATCTGTTAAAGGAAAAGGACTTTAAATGTATAGATGTTTGTTCTTTTTAAATATTTTTTAAAAAAATCAAGCAAGGAAAATTAAAAGTACCGTTCCTCGAGCCTGGCGTTGTACGATGTCAGTTATCGATTGTAAATAGTAGTTGGAGACATGAACAGGTGGACATGAGGTCGGTGGAGCAGAGCGGAGGTGTCGTCAGGTTCAAACGTGACAGATCAGTGTTGGCGTGTGTGTTCGTGTCAGTTCTTAATGTTTTTTCGTGGAGATGTTTCAGTACTGAGACTGGAGGAGGAGTGTCAGGATTAAAGACTGTTAATAAGTGCATGGCTGCACATAGATAGATATATATATATGTATATGAATATTTACACATTCATTCATCTGTGCACACTCCCCTCTACTGCTCAGTCTGACTGAAGTCGTAGCAGAAGTTGTAGTTGCTGGGAGGTTTGGGGACCACGGGGGCGCTGTCAGGGATGGGGACGTTCTCCAGGTCCAGGAGGCGGAGCTTGATCTCCATAGAGAGGAGGATTTCCAGCTCGCTGCGCATGGCCTCACTGCTCATCTCCCGACCCAGGAGGACGCTGAGTCCATCTGTCCACAAACAGAACTGACAGAGAAGAAGAGGAAGAGGAAGATGAAGATGAAGTCTGCTGTAATGGCAGGAGAACTCAAGTGTTTTCAGAGCAGGTCCAGACTCACGTCGGTCCGTGAGGGTGCGATGAAGTTCAGACTGTACTCCTCTACGTCGTACATGATGCTAAATGCTAAGTCCAGCACCTCCTGCTGGGAAGAAGGAGAAACGCAATTAAGCTGCTTTTCCAAGAATCACCCAGAGATTTTACTGCTGTTTCGACCAGTAGAACAGGTCCAGACACAAATTATAAGATGTTATTACAGAACGTCAAGTGGTTTTTTTTTTCTATGTCTGTTGTCTAAATAGTAATGCATTTAAAATCCATAGAGAGATTTTGAGAGGAGCTGCCGACCTTGGTCTGTTTGCCTTTGTTTTCTTTCATGTGAGGACAGTCCTTTCCTGTCAGCAGTCCCTTTATATCAGCCACTGGTACTGAAGAGAAAAGAGCAGATAATAAAACTATAGAAATCCAAACAGGAAGAGCCTAAAAAAAAGGAAGGATCATTTATAAACAAACTCACTCTTTTCTTGGAGTGTTTCTATTGGTGGATTGTCTGTGTCTTCCTCCACGTCGCCATAATGAAGCATTTTGTGATTGGGCGACAGTCGACAGTACCAAAGTTTATCTGAGAGAAAAATGACCCGTCACCAAGGTTAGCCACATCAGAGTCTCCTCTGTAGCTGTGTGTGTGTGTTTGCTTTGTTTATTGTCAGACCTTGTCTACGGCGGTTGCTGATTTTCCTGAACATCGTCCCCTGACACAGTCGGTTGAGTCTCTGCTGGCGGATCAGCTCCAGCAGCTCGGGCTTCAGACGCTCTTTGAGCTCACTAGAAAAAGACAGGAGTTTATGTATGAGCGGAAACGCAGCGACGAGTCTTTTTAGTTCAGTTTCAGCAACCTAGATAAATGATCTAATGAATAGGTTTATAATAATAATAATAAACATTTAAAATCATATTAATGATTCAATTTCTAGGTCAAATACATGTACAATTAAGTGTTGACAGAATTCAGTAAAAAATGTCCAAATATCCATCAGTAATGTTCTGACACTTCTTGTACATTTTGTGAATAAATATAAGTGCAGTTATTTTTTTTTATAATATTCATATTTATTGATAAAGGGTTTCTTTTCTTGGGACTCACAGTACGGGAGGAGCCAGGATCTCCTCCTGGTGCAGCCGCTCCGTCTGCCTCAGTTTGAGGATCTCGCTGTAGTTGAGGGCGTGGACTTTGTTCTTGAAGAGTTCCAGAGAGGTGGGCTTGGTGGCCAACGTCCTGGTGATCTGCTCTCTGACCACCTGCATCACCTGCACGTGGGGAAACATGGAGACGGGGCCGTGATCATGTACGGTTGACTGTCAGAGCGGAGTTAGATAAACTTACAATTCTCGCTTACAACTAGTGGTGCTTAAGCTCCCTCTAGTGGTATCAAGGGGAATCTGTTTTTTTTTTGTGTTAAAACCGTTTGGCAACAAAGGGCTGAAAACACTTCAGGTATGACTGTAAACTGTAGCAGCAGAAAACACAAGCAGTGGCTCAGTTAGGAGGGTCGCCTGTTCGAATCCCAGCCCAGAAAGGACTGTGGTGGGTTTAGTAAGGACCAACACTACCCCCTGTTGATTGAAAAGTGAATCACTGCCTTGTTTCTAGTTGTGTTTTTCTTTAGATCAGTGATCTGCAGTGAACTGTGACTCTTTGACATCTTTGCTTTTCATTTACCCCCTGTATATTTGTCCAGTGTGATGACAACAGATGGAGGTATTTACAAGAATTAAGGTTAAAACAATGTAACACCTGACTAAATGACTAACATCAAATCAATTTAGTGAGAATTGCTGCCTTCAGGTCACTGTTTGTGAAAGTATCTCTAAATAATAAATACTAAATGATATTGTATTTTAATTATCTATTTATCCCTTGTTTATAAATGAATAATATATAATAATGATAATTATGCATTTTAAAATATTTGTGTTATTTTTATTTATTTTTAAACAGAATGAAGTCCAACAAAAAATGTCCACAGCTTTCTTTTTGTACTCGTACATAAATCTGTAGTACAACTACAGTACTACAGACTTCATGTACTGCAATACTGCCATCATTAAAATGGTCAAATGTGTTTGTGGCTCTTGATGAATCTTTTTTTTAATTTGTTTGTTTGATGATAAAATTGTGTTTAGCAGGAATACAATTGGAAGTAACTGGTCGTGTAACTGGTCGTGTAACTGGTCGTGTAACTGGTCGTATTGTGAGTTGTGTGTATCGTTACATCCCTGGTGTTCAGGGTTGCCTGAGGTGATGAATAGCGTTTTTTTTTTTTAAAAAGTACTTCCTGTTCCCTGACGCACCGACTGATGACAACACAGCACAAAATCAACCAAACACCAGGTGTGTTTTTGATTATAGTTTGCGGTTGTGGCGTATTATCCTTAATCCTTACGGCCGCCCACCACCATCAGACCGACTTCAGCGGCCATTCAACCTCAAACAACAGTTCACTTCCTCTCCTCCATTCATCCATTCATCCATCACTCAATCACAGTCACACCCATCGACTCAGGTCCATTCATTTGTTTTCCCGCCTTCTTAGAAACCAAGAATGTACTTCAGTGTTCACAGGGTGGGATTAAGTCCCTTCTCCGTCTTTATCTCACACGAGTTGTGATCATGGGCGGGGTGGGGGGGGGGGTCTGTAGCTGCCTCAGCTGGAAATAACAGAAAATCTATGTAGAAATCCATAGTCCTAATTCAGGGAGATGAAGCCAAAGTGATTATTGCTTGCACACACACACACACACACACACTCTCACACACTCACAGAGTCAGTTCTGCTGACCTACATTAGTCCTGCTGGTTCACGCCCTCTGTAATTGTGAGCACAACAAGAGATATCTCCAGGCTGCGTTTTACTGGACTCAGTGCTAATGTACAAAACAAGATTTAAATTGTTTTATATCTGGACTAACATTTTATATAAAAATAAACCTAACCAACAGTCGTCATGTTCGTCTTTGAAAAACCAACTGTTAAAGGTTCAGTTAAAGACTGAAGGATGTCGGTGTTTGACTGAGACCACAACAGTTCACCACCTCAGACAATGACCCTGTCTGTGTGTGTGTTTGTGTGTGTGTGTGTGTGTGTGTGTGTGTCGGGCAGCGCTGCCAGTACAGATGGTGAAACCCAGACTGTCACTGTGTGAAGATACTGTACGGAGACACAAAACAAACGACTACAGAGTTTTACACTGTCACTTCCTGCACCGGCTGAGCCAGAATAACAAACGTCTCCTCAAACTGTCCGTCTCCTTTCAACCCTAAGAGACGTTCTTTAACACAACACAACACTGGCTGTGTAAACAACAACAACAACAACAACAACAAGCAGCAACTACAGCAGGGGCAGTTAGCGGTCGTAGCTACTGACATCAAACTGTAAACATGGAAAAAATTCCTAATCCTACCTCCATCTTTTCTTCCTTAAATCCACGTGGAGAGAATGATTTTAATCCTATTCAGTCGACATTGATGTGACAGAGAGGAAAAAAAACTGAACTGAACTGGAGAGAAACAACCATCACCTCCACGGCCGCAGCAGCAGCAGCAGCAGCAGCAGCAGCGGCCGCCCTTGGCCTGTTGGTTTTTGTTTTATGACATCCTCTTTCTCCCACACACACACACACACACACACACACACACACACATATGCCGCCACCCACCACACCGGTTCAGCCTCTCTGATATTTAGTTCAACTGGCCAATCAGAGCAGAGGTGACTGTCACCTGCTCCTGTTCCCTGAAGCCCAGCAGCATGTGTGTGTGTGTGTGTGTTTGTATTGATGTGTGTGTGTGTTTGTGTGTGAAGGACGAGGGTGTTCGGAGAGAAAAGAAACTTTTATTTTTCAGGCTTATAAATGTAGTCCTTGGGTCAAAGACCAGTGACGGGACCTGGACTAGTGGACTGAAGTTTTCTTCATTGACTTGGACTTAAACACTGAGACTGGACTGGAACCTTTTCTCCCTGAACTTGGTGTCGAACCCAACGTGTCTTCACTGACCTGGACATTTTATTTGACACTTTGACCTTTGCTTAATGTAAAAGTTGAAAAAACAAAACCAACTCCTTTAAATCATATCAAATCAATAATCAACCGTTTCATCAGTAAATATAAGGCTCCAGGTCCACAGTTCTGCACATGCAGACCCTGCGTTAATGATTTAAAGCTCAGAACCCAAACCTCTGGTTCTCACCCTCTCATATTGTTTCCGGAGGTTTTTTTTTTACGTCCCTCCTGTTGTTGTGTAATTACTGCTGATGCCCCGGGCGCTTTGTCCGCCCCCCCCCCGTTTCCTTTTCTCTCCTCCTTCTGCCCCTCACCACACTTCTCTTTGTCCCAACTAATGCCACAGCGCCCCCCCCCACCAACCCCGAAAGCACCCTGGGTAAAAGGCTGTGGGTAAAAACAAAAGGCCGGCCTACTGAGAGGTCAAGAGGTCACTGGGTTTTTTACGACTATGTGGGTGACGGACGTCTGTGTGTGATGGTAACTGGGCTTCAGGACAAAGACGCAGACATTTCTTTCTTCACGGAGCAGAACCTGCTGCTCAAGACTCTTTCACCTTTGACCTTTGAAGTATGAAACTAATCAGCAATTTGACTAAAGTTTGAACTTCCTTCATGACTTTTACAAATAACATTTTTTACATTTTTCTATTCGGTCAATTTCTTATATATAATGTACAATATTTAGCCACTTTTTTTTCCTGGCATCGTGGCGTCTGGGACAGAGCAGAATTCCCACGATGCCCCGGTTTATCTACGGTACCTTGTCGAAGTCCTCCTGCGTGGCTCTCATCTCCTTCCAGGTTTTGTTGAGCAGCTGAATACAGACACAGAAGAGTTCCTCCAACAGTCGATCCTGACTGAAGAAGATGGGATGGTAGTCGGACCTCGTCTCCGAGGCTGTCGAAACCCAGCGTTAACGAAAGGAGGAGAAATATAAAATAAGACGGACGGGAGAGTTCTGACGGTGTCAGGGCAGGATGACGACGACGACGACGACGACGTGGGGAGTTCTACTCACGTGTCTCTCCGATACGAAGAATCTCACACAGGACGAGTGTGAGCTGGATGCTGCTCCTGGCGAATGGACACTCGTGTTTATCTTCCCTGCTGCTGTTCTCCAGAACAAACTGTTGGAGAGGAAGGAAAAAAAAAACATCAAACAAGTTGAATGATAAAAAAGTCCTTAAAATACAAATGAATCTTCTTAGGGAGAAGCCACGCTCACCCTGCTGTAGGCGTCAGGATAACGTGTGGCGAAATAAAACATGGTGTCCAACGCCAACAGACCGGGAGGCGTCCGCACCAGGTCCTGACCAGGGTTGCTGTTGTTCTGTGAGCGTCAAACAAGGATTGAACAGAGGTTAGCTCAGCGATCCAGGCCGATGTCACGGTGTATTTTGACTGTGGAGTCTCACAGAAAAGCCCAGTTTCTTGAACTCTTTGGCGCAGAGTGAGCGCCGTCTCTCGTGGCTCAGACTGTTCTCGCTCTCCGTCTCGAACGCCGCCTGACGCAGACCGTGAAGGATGTCTCTCTGCTCCTGGAGTGTGGAGTGAGAGGAGGAAAAAAAAAAATCTCAAAATAATTCAGAGCTGAGTCGGTGGTTGAAACTAATTCAGCCACTGGTCCTGATGTTCTCTCCTGTTGTGGCGGACCTGGCTGTAACAGTCCAGCGGCGTTCTCATGCGAGGCTCCAGGTGATTCAGAGTCACTGACTGTAGGACGTAGAGGTAGTGGGCCATCTTATCCTGGACTGAACCAGAACTGTGGATGATGTTCTGCAGCAAAGAAAAAAACACATTTTCTTTTTTGTCAGTTGCGGAAAAAAAAATGGCATGAACTGAATATAAATATATAATTATATTTACCTTATAAATATACTGGCGGAGATTCTTCTTATTCAAGAATGAAAATATATCCTGAAATACAGAAAGAAAACAAAAGAGTTAAATGTGTCACAGTGGTGTAATTGCACTTTTCTACCATGGAGTGGCGGTATAGCGTCAGTAACAGATCAGTGGGTGGGACTGAGGGTTAGTCTGAGTGGGACTTTGACCTCCGTGACGAAACCATCGCCTGCTGGTACTTGTCTCTGACTCAGCCTCATTGTATTCTGCATGAATTTGCTCATGGTTTAGTGGCTCTGATAAGAAGACTGGACGTGTTGATGAAGGGAGAAAGTGTGTGTGAGTGTGTGTGTGAGCGAGAGAGAGAAAAGGAAAGAGAGAGAGAGAAGAAGTGAAGACACGAGGAGCTGAATGAACCAAGTGTTTCTGAACAAAGAAAACAGAGACAGTAGACGGAGAGAGAGAAAAGTCTGTGATGGATCATATCAACCCGACTGCTGCAAATAAACTCCCATGATTCAATTCACAGGCATAAAAATAACAACAGCTTGACACATGTCTCTGTTTCCCATCAGGCCCCAGGTGTCTAATCATAAACGTGTCTGGTCAACGGAAAGTGAAAGATGCAAAGATGAAAGGGACTCATTTCACAGGTCATGAAGTGTGAGAAGTGAAGTGAGAGCAGCAGCAGCAGCAGCAGCAGCAGCAGCAGCAGCAGCAGCACCTGTCTGTCTGAGTCTCCGGCCGTCTGCAGCACGGCCATGAGCAGAGCCATGGCTTTGGTCTGGATCTGCTGGTTGGTCCTGAAAGCAGACGGAGGAAGTGAGATGAGACGGACGTTTAAAAATACACACGCCTGAAAAGCATCGCTCAGTTTCGGCGGCGCCCTCTGTCTGTGTTTGTGTGTGAGGCGGCGGCGGTGGCGGTACTTACACCTGGAGGTGGGCGATGAGCCTCTCCATGGTGACCTCCTGTTTGACCTGCAGGAAGAGGCTCTGACCGCTCAGCACCATGCTCTCCAGGATGTCCAGGCACACCTGCTGTATGGAGGCGTCGGTCGGTTTGGCGTTGACGAAGCCCGCGATCTGAAACGACACAGAGTGATAAATGTCAGAGCGGAGCGAGGAGGGGAGGAGCGGCGAGGGTGAGTTACAGGAGCAGCAGACACAGAACCTTCTTGATGAAGACGGTGGAGAGGTTCTCCCAGGAAACTATCCCATGATCCATCAGTTCCATGAAGGCCGTCAGTGTGTGCGTCATGATCATGTTGTTCCTGAGTGATGCAACAACAACAGAGTTAGATTCAGGGCTGTGACTTCAGCCAACAGCGTTAGATTCAGGGCTGTGACTTCAGCCATTCTAATGGCACCGCCCTGTAGGTGGCAGTAATGCGCCCAAAGATGACACGAGACCGAGGCGATAAAGCTCTGCATGTTGGTCAGATTTTGTGATTTTGTTCTGTTTTTGTAATGTTCTGGTACCACGTAGGCCAGAGGCTGAAACGGTTCCCTCGTCAGTGGGATGTGCTGCTACATGTACAGGAACTATTTTACTCAGCAATGAGGAACAGCATTCCACAGACACAGTCAGAGACACGTACTCATTAGAGTCCTCCACTATCTTGACCAGTAGGAGGTGTCCGTCTCGGCTGATGAACTCCTGAGCGAAGGTCACGTCGGTGGAAACGGTGGCCAGTTCCTTCAGGGAGTCGCAGCGGACGCCCGAGTCTGAGCTCTGGATGCCTTTGAACAAATCCTCCGCACAGCGACCCTGTCGTCAAGTCACAGCAGCAACACCGTGTTACATGGTACCATAGTACTGTTGGCACCGCTAACTGGGACTGTTGGTCGGATTGGGTGTTTTTTTGTTTTTTTTGTATTATTTATGCAATTGAAGCCTCTTTTTTTTTTTTAGCAATATTTTGTGTTTAATGTTCAGATTCTGGATATTCTTGGCAGGACTTCCTTCCTTTTTGAATTCATGAATGAATTTGACTTTAGTGTCACGTGATTGATTTTATTTTTCTGAGTTACTGGTTGAGTTTTGTCAATTTTTTTTTTTTTTACAGCAGAGCGTTTTCATTTCAAATTCATTACTTTTTTTTTAATTTGTCTGACAGTAGTGAAATGTCTTTGTTAAAGGAGCAGCGCTGTAGAAAACCACAGCGTTTGATATGATTTCAGTTCAGTTTTAAAGTAATTGCTGTGAATGTGTAAAAGTTTGGGACCAAACTTTAGTTTTGTTTTTTTTTTTAGGTATTTTAGGTATTAACATCTATTTGTTTTCTTCCTGAAGCCATTTTCCCGTTCATTTTCAGTTACTAAAATCAGAAGTGTCTTCATTGATGAAGTACCTCCACAGTTTTTGAGAGGTTTGAAGTATTTGTGCACACTTTGACTCTACAAAGGCTCGACTTTTCACAGACAGTGTGAAGAGACAGAGGCCTGGAACGATGTGAGAACACAGGGACCGTGGTTGAGTGTCGGCTGGTGCAGACTCAGACTCACCGGTGCCTTGGTCAGACGCAGAATGCAGCCGTTCTTAATGTCCAGACGGTTCTACGCCACACGAACAAAGGCAAACACACGGATGCAGAAGAAAATAGAAGTTTAAGAGCTGTCAAAAAAAAAACCTCTGCCTTTTACTGCAGCGCAGTCTTTGACCACAGTGTGGAGGCAGAGGAATCAGTCGCACGTCAGGTCAGGCTGTTGCTAACATTTTACTACGATGTCCGTCTGTGTGTTTTTTACACTTGGAGCCTCGTTTAAAAATGGGACAGAAATCTGACTTCATGTTCAAACATGATGTGAACAGTTTTTCTTTAACGTTGACTTTAGTGACTAACGCAGGAAATGATCACATTATTTCACTGCATTCAATCAAGCCATGTGTTCCACACACCCACCCAGAAGTGGAAACATCTGTGTTTAACTAAAAAAAAAAAAAAAAACTCACCAACTTCAAAGTCTGGAGTTGGCATCGTCCGACCGACTCTGACGTAACTAACAGTGTACGACGTTCTCACTTCACTTTACCGAAATAAACAAAGGTGTGACCACCGCCAGTAGCTTAACATGATGGGGGAGGGTTTTTTACTCCCCCTCACCCTCACCTTCACCTGCTCTTATTTGTCTCTCTTTTCACGTAACGTACAGAAAAAATCACAATAATCAGGATTGATCTTGATTAAGTACTCAGAGATTGATAATGATTAATTATGATTATTTTCAAATAATTACATAAGGGTTTTTTACTCCCCCTCACCCTCACCTTCACCTGCTCTTATTTGTCTCTCTTTTCACGTAACATACAGAAAAAATCACAATAATCAGGATTGATCTTGATTAGGTACTCAGAGATTGATAATGATTATTTGTGATTATTTTCAAATAATTACATGAGGATTCATTATTATTTATTAAAACCTTTGATTTTCCTAGTGTTTACTCTTCTAACGGCCCATGCTACAGTAAGAGAAGTTCTAGAAGCTCTTTGTTTGTTTTTTCGTTATTTGTTAGAAACCTGGTTCTAATTGGTTAGAATTATTAATTAGAAGCGTTTGTTTTGTTGTTGTACGTGTGTGGGTGAACGTAACTCACTGATTCGGTGATGTACGTCTGCACTCCGTCGGCGTACTGCAGAGCGTAGTTGTCCGGACCAGGGAGAGTCCAGCTACACACACACACAGGGATATCAAGTGTCACAACAACAGGCTGATGTGGGAAGATAATGACGTGGAGTGTTTCCATCATCCGACTCACCCGTCGCACACTTCCTTTATTACAGCAGACAGAGGCTTTTTCTGTTTGCAGAGACAACATTTCACGGTTAATCATTAATCACAAAAACACACACAGTTTTTTTCAGTGAACATTTGTTGTCGGTGTAGTGAGCAGAAACGACACGTTGTGGTGGGTTATCGCCGCCGCAGCTATTCTGGCCGGCATCGAACTCTCTACTCTGTTGGGAAAGGAGGAAATCCACGAGCTTCTCGACGCTCTCTCAACACGGCCGCCCTCACTTTTCAAATCCCTCCTCGTAACATAAATAAAACCCGGGGCTTCATCCACGTCTGACTCCCGGCTATCCTGCCATTAGTGGTCAGCCCCGGCGGTCAACCAATGAAAATGTCTCTGGGTTGTGCGGTAGACCCACTGGACAGTCTGTCATTAGTGGCGGCCAAGGAGGCCCGACTGATCAGATGTGTGAAGTGACGACAGCCGACCAATAGGACGGTTCAGAGGAGTTCCAACAGGATTAGTTGTGATCTAAAATAAAAACATTTAGTTTTTTTTTTTTTTTTGGAGAATCTGCTTTCAGTAGGAACTGGTTGAAGCTTCTGGAAAAGGGTTTTGTCTTGGCTTCAACTCTGAACTGAACTGGTGGAACGATGATCTGTGTCCAGAACTCAGCTGCCTGGTTCTGGTCCTGGTTCTGGTTCTGGTCTGGAGGTTCAGGAGGTGCAGTAAATACCTGCTGAATGAACTCTCCCTCTTGGGTTTATTAGCCTCTCTGTAGTGGCGTCGAGTTTGTAACCGTACAAACCACAACCCTGCTTTCTGGCATCCACCTCACGCTGTGACTCATGGGTAATGTCAGAAGTACAACTTCCTCACATTTTCGAGGAAAACTTCTCCTCTCTCTCTCTGTCTCTCTCTGTCTCTCTCTCTCTCTCTCTCTGTCTCTCAGTAATAACAATAATTAAAAAAAATCCATCTGTTGAGTTGTGTAGTCGACGTCTCACTTTAGTTTTTTTACGTTAACTCACACATTCACCCTGTTTCTCCTCAACTCCATGCGTGCAGTAATTAATGTTGCTCTAATTATTTTTTAATAATTAACATTTTATAATGTTAAATTAATAAACACAGAAACTGAGCTCTTACATTGCAGGAATTTTAAAGGTATATACTGTAAGTTTTTTTTTTATTAATTTTTTAAGAACAGCTAAAAAAAATAAAAAAAATCCATGGAGTTAGATAAAAATGTACAAATAAACCTCCTGAAGTGTAAGTAGACGTAAAAGTAACTAAGTACTAAGTAACTTGTACTTCAGTCTTCAGCAACTGAAGCTACAGTGGCCCATATGGACCAGACCACGTGGGTCAGCCCTCTCTCCCGCCCCCTGGCTGAACTTTTCTTTTGACAACATACAGATGGCTGTACTGTACTGTACTGCACTGTACCATACTGTACTGTACCGTACTGTACTGTACTGTACTGTACCGTACTGTCATGGACCGTGTATCTGGTGTTATCGTAACTTTGTTGCGGTGCAAATCCTGCTAGCTTACATGAAAACACATCATATTCAATCATATTCTTCTTCTAAAAAAAGGGAACCCTGGTCAATGGTTCTGCTGTGAACACACACACACACACACACACACATGTTTGTAGAACATTCTTCCTGAGCAGACGAGGACATGGTAAAATATACGACCTGTCCCTTTAACTTCAGTTGGGAGGTCATCTCTGTGGTTTTTTTTTTGAGGCTGTGAGGAAGTGCTGCCTGGAAGGGATCAACTCAGGGCAAGACGTTCTCATGGACGTTCAACCGCAGCAGCCGCCCCAGTGTGGGAACAGTTGTAGATTCTGTCTATATCTATCAGCTCTATTTACACTTCACACACAGTAAATATATATATATATTTATATGTTTGTTTATATTCCTGGATATATTCCTTTGTGTTTTTTTGCCTTAATTTCTAGAGGGAGAAATGTCTGTGTGTGTCTGTGTGTGTGTGTGTGTGTTACCTGGTCCAGCTGTATGAGTTGTGGATAAGCTCCAGGCATCTGGATGGCTATCTTCACGATGTCCTTCTGCTGAGGCATGTTGACTCCTCTCGACTCCACCGCTCTCTGATCTGTGAGTCAGAAGAGAAATGAACACAGTTACAGTTACAGTTACATCAGCGTTGACACACGGTGGGATGTGACCCACAGGTGGGTTAGGGTTAGGAGACCGGTCAAGTCCACAGGCCGGGGAACAGGATGGTACCAGTGGTTGAGAAGTTAAAGTTAAAGTTGACGTAATGGACAGATTCAGTTTGAATAAAAGAGTCAAAGAATCTGAAATCCTTCAACAGAAAATCGACAGCAGTCATGCAGGGATTTTTCAGAGGAATTCTTCTCCGTAACTCGTCATTTGACTCTGTTCCTCCCATGAATGACTCACAGCCAATTATCATTTACAGTACGAGGCTGTTCCTCATTGAACCAACTGAACCTGAACAGTCAAAAAAAAAAAACCACGGTCCAACCCGGAGACAACAACTCCCTGCTCGGCCTTCGTGCGGCGTTCCCTGAGGACACAGAGGACGCTGTTGTTGTGGTTCCGACCCCTCCTCCCCCACACTCCCCCCCGTCCCATCTTCCCTTGTCTGAATCTGAATCTGATTCTCTCTCAGTTTTCGGCACATGGCAGACAATACGGTTGAATCTGTCTTCCTCACAACGTACTGAGTGAATATTTACTTTGCGACCGGAGTAGAAAGAAGGGAGGACCGACTTGTGCTCGCTTGTGTTTGCTGTGATTAATACCCAGCAGCCTGTGTGGGAGATCGCTCACATAGCTCCACGGGCCTGACAGGGGGAGGGAGCTCACACTTTATGGCAGGTTTCAAAGCAAAACTCCTGTCAAAACAACCTCACGTCGGCACTGCTGTCTCACCTTGCTCGCCCCGAGGCAGTTCCTCTCCTGATGCAGTTGAAGTGAGAATGAAAATTTAAAACCTGTAGAGGTTTCAGGGTGAGGGTAAAACTGAGCAGTTTGCAGCCTTACTCTTCTAGAAGTTTAGAGAAGCTATGACCGTTTCAGCAAAGGCTGCTGGGTAATCGTACCTCAATCTTTATAGGAACAAAGAATGGCTCTGAGCTTTGTTTATACTACCTTTGATTCCATTTCCATTGTTCTCTGCTCACTGTTCTGTGCTGTTGAGCAATACATCCACCAGGGGCAGTGCTGAGTTTAGCATTCATTTCTAGTTTGACATTAGTTCCTCTAACGATAGCGAACATAGTGATGATGGAGGAGGTGTTGATTATGTTGCAGCAAACTTGCAAACAAAACATGACATCATCACCGTCGTTGTTGTCCAAGATTGAACTCCATACTTCAGATTAATTAAAGTCGTTTTAAAAACAACAGACATGAAGAGTCCAAGGGTTTTTGATGCAACTTCAGCACCACCCTGTAGATGGCGGAATAAGGAACCAACCATTGCTTATAAAGTGTGACAGTAAAGGAAACAAACTCCCCGTTATTAGTCATTACTCACTCAACTTCTCTACCGGCTAATGATAGGAAACAGGCCACAAATCTGACTACAAGAACGGAAAAAGATCAGAAGCAATTTTTTTTTTACCAGATTTGGTCCAAAAGTTCTAGGAGAATTATTAGGTAATGTAAGGGGCGCGGTCTCAAATGTGTACCTGTAGCTGCAGTATCTGTATCGGACATGATTTTGATGCAACTAGAAATAAAAATTAAAAAAAATTGCCAAAATATTACAGAATAAAAACACCTACAGTTTTTGACACAGGTGTCACTTCAGCCATTCACTGTGAACACATGTGAAACTACAGTGTATAAAACTCACTGCCTTCACTGATGTTACCATTTTAAGTTCATGACAGTCAAATAAATATAATTCAACAAAAGTGTCTTTGGACAGATTTATAAAAACTCCGACCTACAAAAAGAATATTGTACATTTTTCACAGCGACAAAGTCTCTACCTTTAATCTTATCCACACGTTTTGGTATGAAAATAGATTCAAATCTGTTTGATCCCCCGGGGGCAGGAGTCTGAGCCCAGAAGCTGCTGATCTGTTAAAGTAAAACGACATTTTTGGCTCTGGCGTTTCATTTTTCCTAACTC